GCTTCCTGAAGGAGCGGGTGCACCGGGACAGCAGCATGGCGCTAGCTCAGCAGGCTGTGCTCCCCGAAAATGCCCTCTTCAGCTCCATCCAGTCCCTGCAGTCGGAGTCGGAGGTGCCCAGGCTGGGGGGGTGCGGGGTGTTCTTGGGGTGCTTGTTGGGTGCTGGCTAACTGATAATCAGGCCCTCTTGGCAATTTTGTCCTTGTCTGGGCTGTATCTGGGGATGCAAATGTGATAGATGAGCACTAGTTGGGACACTTCTGGATTTCTGTAGAAGACAGCAGGTTGTCCTGGGGCTGTGTGAGGTGGGAGAAGGGCTGAGAGAGCTGAGGTGCCTCAGTTCTATGTCGCTGGCAGAGATCAGGCCTCCAAGTCTGCACAGGACAGTGATTCTCTCCCTTTCAACTCTGCAGCCTCACAGCCTGATTGCCAATGTGATAGCGGGCTCATCGGCACTGGGCTTCCACATGGGCCGGGATGGACAGGCCTCCCGCCATCTCTCCGAAGTGGCCTCGGCCCTCCGTTCCTTCTCCCCACTCCAGTCTGCCCAGCAGCCTCCCAGCGGCTTCCAGACGGCAGGAAGGGATGGAGAGGGAGCCCAGCCTCGCGGTGCCAGTGCGATGACAGCCTCTGGGTAAGGTGCAGGCTGGAGAGGGGCAGCCAGACACCTTGCAAATTCCTTTACCCCTTGGCCAACTGCCATCCTGTTGTCCTAGGTGCACAGTGGCATTTGTCCCTGCAGCCTGGGACAGCAAGGGACATACTCACAAGCAGAGTTAGGCCCAGATGCTTAGGCTGGCCCCAAAGGACAGCAATGGGGTTTTGGTGTTCTCCCGTAGGTACCACAGTGGTGAGAAACCCCCAGTACAGAAGAGGCAGGGCCATAGCAGTGCTGGTCACCTTGTGCATCTGGGGAGATGCCTCAGAGGGGCCTGTTCCTACCCAGCACAGGAGTGGATCTCTGCAAGGCTGACATTAGAGCAGAGAGGTGCTCGGTGGTGTGGGGGGCACCTGGGCAGTAAATGCCACTTGTGTGTCCCATGGCAGTGCCGATGCGAGGACTGTGAGCTCGGGGAGCAGCGCCTGGGAGGGTCAGTTGCAGAGCATGATCCTGTCGGAGTACGCCTCCACCGAGATGAGTCTCCACGCGCTCTACATGCACGAGGTGAGCAGCCTGGAGCTGGGCGAGCCAGAGAGGTGTGGAGCGAGGCAGGCAGGACTGGGGTGCCCTGTCTGGAGTGACTGGGATACCAGCGTGAGTGAGAGCTGAGACCAGTGTGTGTGCAGTGCCGGAGAGAGGGTGTGTTCAGATGTCTGGGCTCTCCCACACAGCTAACTCACTCGTGTTTTGGCCTGCAGTTGCACAAGCAGCACGCCCAGCTGGAGCCCGAGAGGCACACTTGGCACCGGCGAGAGAGCGATGAGAGTGGGGAGAGCACCCACGAGGAGCTGGACGCTCAGCGGGGTGCCTCCGTCCCCATCCCTCGCTCTGCCAGCTACCCCTTCTCCTCGCCACGGCAGCCTGCTGAGGAGACAGCCACGCTGCAGACCGGCTTCCAGCGGCGGTATGGTGGCATCACAGGTACGGGAGCCAGGGCAGAGGTCTGAGCTCCAGGTCAAAGCCCATAACCAATGCTCTTTATGGTCTGGCACGAGCAGCCTGCCTACTTCTGGACACTGATAGTCCCCCAGGTAGCTAATCTTCCTTCTTGCCTCTCTTGCAGACCCAGGCACAGTACACAGAGCCCCATCACACTTCTCTCGCCTTCCTCTGGGAGGCTGGGCTGAGGACGGGCAGTCAGCGAGACACCCAGAGCCTGTGCCAGAGGAGAGCTCAGAGGACGAGCTTCCACCACAGATCCACAAGGTAGGGGTGAAGGCTGTGGCTGAGAGGGGGCAGGGTGTACTCTGGATGCCAGGCTGAGGTGCTGGCGGCTGGTCCTGATAGGTGCCACATTCCCTCTCTGTCTTGCAGGTATAGCCTTGTAGACTGGGGATCTCATGGGGGTTGCAGACTGGGAGCCGCCTGGGCAGCAGGATGTGGCGTCAGCCTGATTCTTCTCCTGTCCTGAGCGGTCAGGATAGTCCCGGGCTCCGTTTTGTCACCATCAGTTGCCGAAGAGACAAAACTGCCAGGCCGGCGGCTTTGCGGTGGCACCTTGTGTCCAGCCGTGTGTCAAGTCAACGCCACTCTGACTCTTGTGGGGTGAATGCGTGTGTGAGTACATACATGTGTCTGTGTTCACATCTGTGTTGTCCGTGTCAGAGGATTGCTGCAGAGCCTGTGAAAGCTGACATGACTGTGACAGGACTAGCACTGGGGACCTGTGGACTGGCTTGGAGGTGGCAGCAGCAGCTGCTGTTTGAAGGGATGTGGGACAGCACCGGCTCCAGATGTCCACCCAGAGCTGGGACCTGCCTCCAAATTGAAGGCAGGAGCTGTTGAGCTGGGTCTAGCTCAGCCTGTAGCACCACACCTGCCCTCCTGCAGCCCTGGGGAGGTATCCAGGACCATGTTTGCCCTTCTGGAGAGGACCAATGTTGTACCCCTCTGCCTGGAGCAGGACAGCAGTGGGGCAGTCACCCACCCCTCTGCCCCAGCATCCTGCAGAAGGTTGGGCCCCAGTGCTGCTGGTGTGGCTAGGGGTGGGATCTAGAGCTGATGGGAACAGCTCTGGCCAGGATCCGGGAATGCTGCAGCTCTTCCCCAACTCTCACAACAGCTGGCCCATCCCCTGCACGCAATGGTCAGTGGGTTGAAGGTCCTGGGTCCCTGATGTCCCTCCCAGCTGGCAGCCTCTGTGCCGTACTTCTGGGCTAGGGCAGCAGCATCCTGCGCCCTGCGCAGCACCCATGGGATGTGGGCTGCTCGTGGGCCCTCCTGCTGTGCCAAAGAGACCCCAGTGTGGAGCAGCTGTCTCCTTGGAGTGCTCGCAGCCCCCTCAAAGCCCACGATGAAGGTCTTGTGCTCTGTGTATTCGTTCCCTTCCCCCAGGCACGATAAAGGCCTTTTCTGCACACCCAGGCTGTGGTGCATCGGGTCTGTCCTGGTGCAGCCGTTTCTGTGGTATTGGGCCTTTCCTCTTCCCCAGGCAAAGGCTCCAGTGTGTCTTGCATCTCACCCGCGGGCTCCCAGCTCTTCCTTCCCTCCTGAAACCATCCTTTTGCTTACAACATGGCTTCGGCTGCTGTGGAGACCCTATACCAAGCAGCTGGCTTGTGCCTAGCAGGGCAAGGAGGGATGCGCTGAACCCAGAAGGGAGAGGCAATCTCCAGCCCGACCTTGGAGTGGTGGTGGGGGATCAGGATCCTGGCTGTGCAGCATGGCCTCAGACAAGACCTTCCCCTCCATCCTTCTGGTTTCCCTCTTCTTCCAGTGGCAGCTTGTGAGGTTCTGCATCCCAGCTTAACCCCTGCCAGGCTTTGCTTTCCCCTCCCTCCCTCCATCCCCTTGCCTCTGGTGGGGGCTGCTTGCTTTTGCCATGCCCTCCACAAGCACCGCAGGCCCTCCTCTGCCCTCCCTGGAGGCCAGGGCCACCTCTCTTCCCCTGCCAGGGTTATCGCCCTCTGCCCTTTGAGCCTGGGTTGGGTGCATGCTGCTGAGCTGCCTGCTCCCAAGGGAGGCGTGCACCCGGGTAGCCAGGGCATGAGCAGGGCCAGGGTGCTCATGCAGGGGCAGGCTTTTTGGAGGTGGTGGGCTCCCTGCTGCAGTGGGGAGGGATGGACTGGAGTTCTGACAGCTTTGGGGTCTGTAAGAGACTGAATGGAGTGTGCTAAAGCAGAACTTGGGATGGGGATCAGCTCTTTGCTGCTGGGATCAGGACTGAGCCGGGCAGGGGGTCTGTTGACCTGGGTGTTGCTGGAGTCCTCCCACGGAGGAGCAGCTGTAACAACCCTGCGGCAGCTCTGGCTTGGGACTGTCATGGCATGGTGAAAGAGAACTGAAATCAAATCTGGGAACCCAGGCTTTCCAGTGGCTTCCCCTGCCACCCAGGCTGTCACCCTGCACAGAGGTGAGCCTCCTCGGGGCTGCTGTGTCTGGGCCTCCTGGCGGAGTTGCTGCTGCTC